GAGTCGTCCGCCGTCAGAGTGGTACCGTCGTCGGTGAACAAGAAGAAGAAGAGGGGTGGGTGGCGGCTAGGGCAACAAAGGAAGTGGAAAAAGAAGATGAAACTAGGGTTATTTCGTTTTTTACCCCAACTAAATATGATGTCACAATAGGTTTTGAGAATATTTATTTGAGAGATTAATTTAATTATAAAATCTAATATCCTAAATTCACGAGTAAAATTAAATTTCCAAAACTTGAATTAAGATTTGATTAAAAATCTCCTTCCAAAATTTGAAAAATTAATTTATGTTAACCCACGAATTAAACTTAAATTCTAATTTATCCAAAATCGGGAGAAATCCAAATGTAAAATTTAAATCTTAAAATAAAAATAATTAGAGAACTTGGGGTTACAACAAGAGGGAACGAGGGAGCCAAAATTAGGGTTTGTAAGACAACACGAAACTGAATTTGATTTTCAAGATCAGAGATAGGAAGTTCTGGTTTGCAACGAATAGAACATCTTGGGGCGGTACCAAAGGAATTTACATATGACATTTCGGAAATTCAAACTAATCGATCCTTCATGAAAACCATTGATTTTTTTAACTCACTTCAAGAATTCCGACCCGAAAATTCTCATCATTCATATATTGTACCTATCGAACAAGAATACCAAAATTGCATGGAGGGAGAATATAAAGATGGGGAATCACAATATACCTTACAAATCTGTACAAATTAATCGGTAGAAAACCCCTTCGAATTGATGAGAGATTCAAAAGCTGAAACCAAAGTTCCACAAAAATTGAAATTATAGACGAAAGCACGTTATTCGTCTATCGTGCTTCGGAGAAATTCTCTAAAACTCTGAAACTCAATCACAATTTATGTAAATAGGTTGGGTAAGGTTCGGTTTTGGCCGAATCGATCGAACAAATCGGTTCAATTATTTTGTGAACCGAACCAATCAATGGATGGAGTCAACTCGACCCGGTTCAATCCAACTAAACATATTGGTCCATCGACGAGTTAACGATGTGGAAGATACAATATTAAGTATTTTCTAGATAACATGAACTTGGATTAGAACTTTCCAGAGATCTTTAATTAAAATTAAAAAAAAAAGGTTGAAATAATAAATTAAAAAATGAATTATTTGTCAATTCAAGTTCAACTTAAAATATATGTATGTATGATTAGTTCAATTTGGATAGGAGAGAGGCCCCTCAACGATGTTTTTCCTTATTTGTTTAATATCTCCACTCATTTGTTTAATATTTCCACTAAAAAGGAGCCCAGAATTGCTGCTTGCTGGAATGGTAGTGAGAATGATTGGGATTTGGGCTTCCGATGAGGTCCTTTTATTGGGAAGTTGATAGCTGGATCAACCTTATTCATATTATTAAATGTGGTGAGACTTGGGGAGGAGAGGATCGTGTTGTATGGGCACTAAGAAAAGGATCGCTTCTCTCCGCAAATTGCAATTAAATTGTTTATTGTAGTTGCTGATGTGACAAATTAAATTAATTCATATCGGACATATATCATTTACTTAATATAATTTGTCACATCAACAACTACAATAAACAATGTAATTGCAATTTGTCACGTTATTTTAATATTAGTTAATTAACAGTAAAAAAAAGACCATTTATAACTATTTCTCAAATTTCAGAGATAAAAAATGTTCATTTTAAAACTTCAGGGACCAAGTTGACACCTACTTTAAACCTCAAAGGTCAAAAATATTCATTTTAAAACTTCAGGAACCAATTAGACACTTACCTCAAACCTTAGGAACCAAAAATATTCATTTTGAAATTTCATAGACCAAATAAACACCCACCTCAAACCTCAGAGACCAAAAATATATTTTGTCCATAATTTTTTTAGTTGAAAATGTATAACTTAATCAATTGAACTACCTTGATGAATCAACTGATGTTTATACTTCTAGTCTATAAATTAAACTTTTAACTTAATTTGATCATTAAAAAAATTCCAACATCTTTCTAAAATATTTAAATAAATAATTGTCAATTTAACTTTATCTTTTTCTCTATTTCAACGTATGAGTGAGAATTCTATCTTCTCACTTTTTTTTATCCAAGTTATAATGCCGAAGTTATAATGTATTGACCAGTTGAACTAGATTCAAATTCGCAACTTATTCCATTCTCAATACTCCTTTGATGGGAGGTCTTGAAAATTAATACAAATCCCAACAAGTAACCCATGTTTCGTAATAAAAAGAATAAATACAAAACAACAAAAGATGATCGAATCCTCAAATTGAACACATCCAATTAAGAACGAGAGAGTAGCACATGATTTTCCCAGTCCACCACGTTCTCCAACTCCAACGCAGGATCAAATAAATCCTCATAAATACATCTTGATCTGAAGCTATAGGAACTACGAGGGAAGGTTAAAGAGAAGGAACAAGTTGAGTTGCTTTGAACTCTTGACGTCTCAGAAAATGAAATCACTAATGGAAATGGACTTATCTTTTTGAGCATTCCTATTGATGATATAGGCGTTGTCCTCAACATCCGCGTTGAAACAGTTCATCCGATGCCTAGCATTGCAGCAACACATAAGCGATATTAGTCGAGCTCTGTCCAGATAGTTCAAATCCTCCTATAAGTTCAGAAACTTTGGTTTTTTGTTTGGTTTGAAAATAATGAAGATTTAACTAAAGAGAGAAACATAATTTTTTTTTTAAATGAGAAATCGAGCCTTAATCAAGAGAAATGAAAGAATATAGAAGGACATACAAAAAAAACAGTCCGACAAAAGAATAACACCTAATTAATAATTACAAGAAACCTTAGAAACTGATCCCACGTAAAAGTATTAAATCTAATAATTGAGAGTAAATGTAGAGGAAAATGCCTTTTAAATTAAGTTTCAAGTAAATGAAGAGACAAACATGATTCATTACTGGGACGGTTTGAAGAATACTGATCAATTGGAACACCGGATGACTCTAATAGATTGGACTAGAGAAGTGGAGAGCGTATGACAAGAAAATGAAGCTTTAAGAAAGTGATAAAGAAAAAAAAAACAAAACTTGGGATATGTACCACGTGAAGTGATCTTCGCAGCAAATGGAACCTGATATGATTGAGAGTCCAACTCCCTTCCTGCGTTCAGATATGCAATCAAATAGAAAAATGAGACAAAACAATGGATACAGAACTCCAAGTTTAGAAAAGCGAAGAAGGAAATAGTAGATTAAATTTTAAATGTTATTTTCCCATGAGAGAGTTTTACCACTTTCAATTTGGAAGTAAGATGATAATTAAGTTGGTGGGAGAGGGGTCTGTCAATTGTCAAGAACTCTTGCAAGAGCACTGATTTATTCTTTATAAGCTAAGAATTGGTATCTACTTCTACAAATTTTCGGAACAAAAAATAACTTACTGTAGTAATACATACATATCTTCCCAAGTGATCTCAACTTAATCTCAAAACCTCTTAATTTTTTTTGAGGGTCTTAATCTACAATATAGCACATGCCACATACTTACCAAGTTGCAGTATACATATCATAGAACTTGTCGAAAGCTTTATTGAAACAGTAATGACACACCAGAAGATCCTTAATGTCAGTCACCTTGCATGTTGATTTGCAACATTTTACCTATGCCGACCATGATTTAGCATCAGTTAAGATGATAGTTAAAATGATCACTAAAATGACAGGTGTGATGGCTTTTATTGCATGCAGAAGTGATTATCACACAGGTGAAGCCACATTTAAAATAGATGAAAAGTCACTCAAAGCATGGGAGAGAAACAATTTGCCTTAAAACACTACAGACAATAGAGATAAATAACATGATGGAATTAAGGATGCCAATAAGAGAGTGCATACTAATCATAAATAAGTTAATTCTTCCTCGATTCAGAATTGAGGCTCAGTCCCAACCCTGTAATTTTAATTTACTATTGTGTCATTTCTACCAGCCTGCTTAGTGATAGAGCCACCCTCCTTGAAGTCAGCAAGGAAGGCACCCCAACTCCCTATCAACCGACACGTTAGTATATTTTTTCTTTATGCAAACAGTCTCAATAATTTTCAATTGATTTTGCTCTTTTTATCTTAAGAGTCATTGTAAGTGAATTTAAGAGAGTGAAATGAAAGGACTATTTTACATCATTTTGGGGATCTTTAGCCTCAGAAACCTAAATGAATGTCATTCCATAAATATCATACGAAGACTAGTTCAAGAACTAATATACTGTTGAAAGAAGTTGAGAATAAATACTTTTTTATCAACTAATGAGTAAAATGAAATGATTTGCCCATAGGTTTTTATCAACTAATGGGTAAATTAAGTGATTTGCCCCAAAAATAAGGAAATACTTGTTTTCACGTATATGCAATCTCTAAGCAAAGTTAACTCACAGACTGCCTCCTCAACCTTGAATAGTATGAAAACTTGGTAAGAGAGAAGCTAGATGAGAAAAATGACAGCCCAGACCAGTTCCTAACAATAATGGAATCAAATGCCTGTTTTTATAAATCATCTTTGAACCTTATCCTTGACCAAACCGGATTTAGCCAAGGCCAGAAAACTTGTCACCCTTTGACAAAAGGAATATAAGATCTAAAGTTTACGACCATCAAAAAAGAAACCCAAGGATCTAAGTTCCTTCCAAATACTACAGAAAAAATACACTTTTAAAGTGTACAGCTAGAAGTATTACCATAGATGGTAATTTAATCTCATCTACGGTCAAGTAGAACTTATCAATGCAAACCTATTAGGCTATTACAACAGTATACACAACAAACAGAAGATATGGACTGCCTTATACACTTACAAGACGTTTGAGTTTATGCGAGTAATATAATCCATGAGTTGGGTGTGCGTGGATATGCTCATTTAAATGACCTGCACTGTAAACAAAGAAACTTCCAAATCAATTTCTGAGCGTTAAAACACACACATGAAATACTAGTGAGAGGCATTAGAAGAAAGAAGTTTACCAGTCATTTTAAAAAAATAATTCACCAATAATACAAAATAACCTTCGTTACATTATTCTTTTGAAAATAGTTTCACTCTAACTACTAGGTATGTCTACTTCTGAAAATTTTAAAAAAATAACATTTAAATACTATTGAAATGATTTTCTTTTTTTTTCCTTAAATACCACGAGTATCCAGCCAACCTACATGAAAACTGTGGCAGTCAAAACCTTGAATTGATGACTATATGCACATGCAAATGAATCCCGGATTTGAATCTTGGATTTTTAAGACATTAAATTCCCACTATAATGCTTTCTGGTACTCATTATTATTTTTTTGTAAGAAAATTCTTTAACCAAATTAAGTCCAGTTTATGGAGAAGAAAAAATCTAGAGACATAAGACCGAAATATGATCTAAGTAGAACCCATCCTAAACATACAAACAAAGAGAAGGGATGCATGGAAGTGCTTGCCTGTCACAGTAAACACTGCTACAATCAAGACATGTCGCCAAACTAAATGAACAGCTGCATTCGTTGCACAATTCCGTTGACAAATTTTTTCCTATCTGGTAACATCTGTGCAGACACAAAGCATGCAAAGCACACCAATTTCATGTTAGTGGCATCTTTACTTTTACATTAATATGTGAGTTATCGATCCATCTTACATCTGTTAAGAACAATCAAGGAAATCTATTTCGGAGATTTGAATATCAGATATTCTTTAACAAACAATCCACACAACCATTGCAAATCCTGCCAGTTTATCTATTAGTCTTTTTCAGACAAAATTCTGCTTACAACTATAAATTACTCTAAATCTTAAATCTTGGCTCGTTGCTGCCTCCACGCCTCCACCTCATGACCACATAGAGTGTAACTAACTATCAAGAGTTCAAGAAAGTGGAGGTGACATTTATTTAGATAAATTCCTGACTCAACGTGGGAAATAGAATACAGTTATTATTTCCTTTTTTAATAACACAAAAATATTGTGCTTTATGAGAAAGGAAACTAAAAAAATAGTAAATAATTATAATTCCTGGAAAAATGAATTGTATAAATTTCAACATGTCATACAACTTGTTGACACACTGGTTTATTACCTCTCGTGGCATGATAACAAATGCATTTACCATCAAATTGTAGGCATTTTCTAACGTATTAAAACTAAAGACTAGCCGTGATGAGAATTTGTAAAAGCATAAAATATGGACAATTAGCATGTTCCTGACCTTTTGTACAGTCCAAGGAGATCACCGGGTATAATATTGTAAGTCTTTTGTTGCATTACCTGGACAGACAAGCAAGTCAAAGTCATTAGTCAAGCATTACTAACCATAGCAAATCTAGGACCCAAAATGATCTGGAGATTCAATTATTCTATATGAATTACTATGGTGAACCTGGTTACTGGTTTTAACCAAACAATCTTCAGCAAGGTGTCCTGGCTTCTGACATTTCCAGCTGTGATTAGAAGTGCAAAGGTTAAGGGTGACCACCCAGAATGAACTAGAAAACCATGTAATACAAAAAAAGATAATTGAAACACTTGTACTCCATATCAGAAACACTTGTACTAAATATCAGAAACATTTATGTCAACTTCCTATAACAATAATATTTGATATTCCCAAATAATGATCATAATTACAAAAGATATGGAAGAGAAATTTACCATTCATAAGTACAAAGATTGGATTTCTTTTTGGACCAGCGATGGTTCTTATAATCCCAGGTGTCCTCCTCAAACTCTGGGGAAGGCAAGATATGCTTAGTTTCTGGTAATGCAACATCTTTCACTTCACTGTTTGAAGACTCCTGAAAAGAAAGGGAAAGAAGGATCAGAATCATTATATACAATATCATCATTTATCATCATATATAAGGGTAGGCAAAAATACCTCCCTCCGTTTAAGAATTTCCAAAAGCTTCAATTTGCACTCCATGCTGCAGATGTCATCATTTGTCTATCAAAATGATCATGCATAATGACTGAGGATGGGCTAAATCAATAGTTTAATGTGAGTGAAATCATTGAATGAATTGTTCTCATCTCACTTCATTGCATATGTATTCTCCATATCTACCACATACTACACAAACAGGTTCTCCTGCAATGGCGAAGCATTGCTCGTTTTTGCTCTTAATTTCCTCAAATTCATTCAAGGGACCTAAGAAACAGTGAAATTAGATACCAAAATCAACGACTGACTAGTTGTGCCAATATGCAGATTGCAGATTTAAATGTATTAAATATGAACTTTGGAAAATTAAAAATCAAGATTAAAGTTTATTGATGCTAAGCCACTTGACACTATTACCATGATAACAATAACCTATGCAACGAAAGAGAAATTATTTAAAAGTGATAGTTGAGTCCAAGAACAAACTGGAATTTTGATGATCTTGCTTTACTGCACTTTCTGAAGACGTGCTCTCATCACCTAATGAACATGTAAAAATGAAATGAAAATGATTCCCATGATAATGAATCAATAACAAATATCAGATGCACAGGAAGTTGATTATCAAAAACTTTCCATCCATATAAATAGTTAGAATGCATATCATGTTGAAATTTGCAAACGATTAAATATTTTCCCATAAAAATATATTATGTGAAACATTGAAAAAATAAAAAAGCAAAATTGAACAAAGCAACATTGGATAGCTGAATCGATCCTATGTCTTCTTCCAAATACGAGAGGGGATTAATAGTCCACCATATCAGCAAATAATGAGTAGAATCGTTCAAACAAGAAACATTATCCAATGTATGAGTATAACAATAAAATAAAGAAATATGGGTATTCAAATTTCGGATTCAGATAAAGTTAATCTTTTGAAGGTGGTCTCTTAGAATGAGAAGTACAATATTTCACGAGAACGTGTCTAATCCATGAGTATAACATAAGCTTTTTGAAACATCAAAAGGACCCATTCACGATGATGGATGCTACTTTATATGCCAGATGGAAGCTTAATCCTTCAAAAATCATGAACAACAAGAAATAAGTTCCATTTAGGTCCAGTCACGGTACGAATTTCTGGAAACATACGAAGACAACATCAAAAAGTAGAAATAACAAACCCCAGTAATCCTATACAACGTATGATCGAGTAAAGAACTATAACAATAATGCCCTGAAAGCTTACTTTCATATCCTACCAAGTTCAAGCCCGAGCTGGAAGTTCCCTGCCATAGAAACAAAAATTTCAAGTGGCATTCGTAGGTAAGTTCTCTTCTCTATGAACTAAAACCCAGAAAATTCAATTACCAAAACATCTTCCATAAGGATCTCGTAAGGTTGAGATTTATTTGCTTCTTTTCTGTCAGCATTGAAGAGATTTGGCATTAAATTCCGTTTCAATAGCATGATTATACACTAACAATCAGCTACAAGAAAAACTTCCATGCCTTGAAAAATTGGAAATCAAGAATTAAACATTTCAGCGTACCTTCTCCTCTCAATATAATCTTGATGTGACATAGGTCCGTCACTGTACCCAACATCATATTTTGGATTACTTGACAATTCTGGCTCCCGGTGGCGTTTCCGGTTCTCATTCTTCTTCACGACGGGAGGTGGTTGTTCTTCGGTCAGAGGAGCATTACCGGTAGCAATATTATATGCTGGCGAAATTTTTAAAAAAGAAAACAATCTCAGCAATCCGAAAAGTAGCATAAACATGCTTGACGATCAAATAATAAACCAACAGATAAAGCTGCACCAAGTTCTCCACTCTAATCGTTATGTTACATATGCTGGAAGCAAAAATTCTCATCCGAATTACAAGTTTATTCTTCCATTAGACAAATTAAAGAGGTAGCTTGATGCCATATTATCCACTGAGTTGATTCTTCCGGCGTTTTCTCAGACATCCAAACAAAATTTCGGGGAGAAAGTAAACTGAATAAGAATTATCACCTCTTAGGTTCTGAAGAGCGGAGGAGAGATTCAAATCCTTCTTGTAGGAGATGGAAGGATTCTTGTAGAAATTTGTTCTACTGCCCATTTTTCTTCTCTCGTTTTCCCGCTGCTCAGATTTCAGCCCTTTTGGTTGAGCTTGCAAGAGCATCAACCGGTATATTATTCCGATATGTCGTACTTAAAGATTAGAAAAAAAAAAAAGAAAAAAAAATTTCGATGTGTCGATAATCTATATATTAAGGGTTATTTTTCTTTTTCTTTTCTTCCGACGAAATATTAGGTGGTATGAAATCGGTGTGGAAGGTCCATAATGCAACAAGGATTGAACCTTTAGGAATGATTCTGATCAAATCAATGGCAGAAAAAAGTAGGGTGATTCATTTCGGCCTTTGGACCTTCGACAATTTGGTTYCGACGACTACAGACCAACCACTTGATATGAACTTTGATTTGGGAAGACCTGGGTCAATCGGAATTGTCTCACCAGCGGCCGGCGGGAATTGCGGCTAATTCATCAATAACGCAATCTGTTGAGTACGAATTCTGGCCTGCGAAGCGTCATACTCGAAGAGGTGAGTTGAATTAACGTGCAAGCGAAATATAGGAATAGACTCCAAAACGCCTAGGTCGACTGTTAGGGTAGGACCTGCGAGGCTAAGCCAACCTTAAGCGAAGTCCATAACGTTGTCTCTTTCGAACCCGACAACACGCCGCATTTTTAGGATGTGTCAGAGTTCCTGTCGGGTCCAGTTTCTATAAATAGAAACCCTTGCCTTGCATGGTACACAATCCTAGATAAAATCGACAAGTTAGCTCGGACTAGAACTAACTTGCTCGTCGGAGTACTAACTTTGTTTTGCAGGTCTCGTGAGTGGTCTGGGAAGGTGTTAGACAGCGGCCAATAGCTCATCATGTACGTTCTGATCTACTACCTGTCCGAGCTTAGCGATTTCGGACTCAAACATTTGGCGCCGTCTATGGGGACGACATATTTGGAAGACAGTCTCTCTTTTGCAATCTGAGCTAATGGCCCAAACCCGCTCTCAGCAGTCACGGTCCCAGCTTTCGCC